TATTTTCGTCCGTTTTTTTATAAGCCAGAGTTCCATTTTTGAAAATATCTTACAATTTAATAATATATTTTATTCACTAATGTCTCAACTCTTTCTTAATTTATCATTTCTCACTCCTCTAATGGTCCCCACTCTTTCTCACACCACTTTACTTTTCAATAAAATAATAACTTTATCTATCCCGCTAACATCTTATTTTATTAAACTACCTAAAATTCCGTAAAATCTCATCTAATCAATAAAAAAAACAGAGAGAGTAATTGTTAGATTCATTTCAAAATTACAAGTATACCAATTAAACTGGAATACTTATGAATTGATGGACTATGATTTTCTAAAGCTAAAAGATGAAAGATTACTTTGACGTACAACAAGTTGAGAATTCGAAAGGTCAAATCTACATTTGAGTAAAAGCTGTTAAACTTTTCACTCCAATATAAAATAAAACAAGATATTGTTTTGGAACCAAATAAATGATAGACCCCTTTTATTAGGGGTGAGCAAGACCGGGTACCCGGTCATATTTGTAATACCCGGATCCGGAACCGGTTATAACCGGGTCCCAAGAATTGGAACTGGTCCCGGAACCGGTTAATACCGGATCCAAATTTTTTGGAACTGGTCCCGGACCCGGTAGGAACCGGTTCCAAAACCGGGTACCCGGTATTATTCAACGTAGTAAAATACTGTTTTTTTCTTTATAATTGTTATATAATATATTATTATATATAATGGAATTTTGCAGGCTAGTTATATTAACATAATAATATCCCTAAATTAGTTTTGGAGGCTAGCAAAATACAAATATTTCAAAATACAAATATTACAAACTAATAAGCCAAAAAGTACCAATTCAACAACCTAAAATATCAGTACAACAAACTTCAACAATGCTGCAAAGTCCAAACATCCAAACATAACCAAAACAACTACTTAAATAAAAGTTCAGAAAAAAAAAGGGAAGAAAAGGAAGGGCAGCAACAGGCAGCACTGCAGCAGCTGAGCACACCATCAGCAGGCAGCAGCTGAGCACACCATCAGCCAGCAACAAGACCAGCAGCAAGTCAGCAACCATCTAAGCAACGGAGAAAGACAGCATACAGCAGACAACAAAGCAAAGAGGCAGCAGCCAACAAGGAAGCACAAATTCCCTATAAACAAAAGCCAAAATGTCCTTAGAATATTTGTCATTTGATATCTTTTCATACAATATAATTAAGAATACAATTATACAAACCTTTGTCACATCAATTATTTCCAACAAATTCATTAACTTGTGTGATGCCAGTGTCACTACCATCCAATTCTAAAAAAAAACAGTAAACAATATAAGTAATAAACTTAGAGAAATAAAATAGATAAATATACAAAATAATAGAAGTATTAGTGTATTACCTTCTTCATATTTTTGAACATCCTCAAGGAAGCGCTCAATATCAATGCATACATTTGACGCCCTTAACCAATCTTGAGTACAAACTAAAGCTTCCACCATATTTGGCCCCAAACTACTACGAAATTGATCAAGTATGCGACCCGATGTACTAAATGCGGATTCACTAGAAACCGTAGAAATTGGTATAGCCAAAATGTCCTTAGCCAATGTTGACAATACTTTGTATTTGTCACTTTTTTCTTTCCACCAACCCAAAATATCAAACATTTCCCCTTCAACCCTTCTCTCCCGAGCTTCTTCAAGATAATAATCCAATTCACTTTTTTCAACAATAAAATCACTTTCTTCCTCATCAAAATCATCATAAAACTTTTTCATTTGCTCACTATTTGAAGAGCTCAAGTTTTCAGAACCATTATCCACATTGGCAACATTAATATTACGATTATTCTTGGAAGAGGAAGAAGCAATAATAGCATCATAATGGTTAAATAACTTCTGAACATTGTCATACAAATTGTCACAAATAACATCGACTTTGGCAAAGTCGTTAGGATAAAGTTTTTTAAAAGAATACTTCAAAAACCTAAGCTTATATCGAGGATCTAAAACAACCGCAACTAACATCATGATATTAGTTTTACCGAGATCCCCATAATACTTATCAAACTTTTCCCTCATTTGTCTACCCATAATACGAATATCCATATTTGTAGAGTTTTCCCATTCTATCAAACAACTTAACACCTCCAAAACCTCGTGAAAATACAAGTTTGTAGTAACATATAAACTACCCGACATTTTCTTTGTAGACTCATAAAATAATTTCAAACACAAAGACAACACTTTAGCATTTACCCAATCTTCTTGTGTAGGTACTCCATCCTTGAGTTCCCTACTAAAATCAGGATCATCTTCCGCAAACCTATTAAAAGCTTTTTCAAATTTCAATGCGGTTTCAAGCATGAGAAAGGTAGAATTCCATCTAGTTGCCACATCAAGACAAACTGAACCTTTACAAGAAACTTTAACCAACATAGAAGAGTGTGCAAACAATTTAGCTCTAGAAGGTGAACTCCTCACATATCTAACAGCAGCACGAATTCGAGCAATCGAAGACTTCACACTAGATAAACCATCTTTCACAATCAAATTTAGAACATGACAAGCACATCTCATATGAAAAAATGAACCCTCCAAAACAAGTTTATCATGAAAATGTGTTTTCAAATATCCAACCGCCACATCATTTGAACTAGCATTATCAACAGTTAAAGAAAACAATCGATCCTCAATCTCCCATTTAAGAATACATGCCTCCACAACTTTTCCAATTTCCTTACCTTTATGACTATCCATTAATTGAAAATTTAAAATTCTTTTATGCAACTTCCAATCATCATCAATAAAATGAGCAGTCAAACAAAGATAATTAAAATTTTGAATGGAGGTCCAACAATCAGTTGTTAGTGACACTCTCGATTTCAAACACCCAATTAATTTCTTTAATTTTCCACTTTCACAAACAAATATATTCTTCACATCTCTTGCAACTGTAAAACGTGAAGGTATATGAAATTGAGGTACAGCAACACTACAAAAATACCTAAAACCTTCACGCTCAACAATAGAAAATGGTTGTTCATCAACAATAACCATTCTTGCCAAACCAAGTCTACAAGCAGTTTCATCAAATTTCCAATTAGAGACTATAGTAGCATCAGATTCAGGAGACTTGTAAACAGAAATGAGTTTTTGCTTTTTGTCTACATTTGGAGGGTATTTTGAACATGCACCAAGGTGTTTCTTTAATGAAGAAGTTCCATTATTAGTATTACCTGTTAGCATTTTCTCACAATATTTGCATTTGACTTGAACAATTTTTTTGGTTACTGGATCTCTAAAATCCCAAAAATGGTTCCAGTATTCAGACTTCCTCTTGTCACCAACCTTGGTTGATTTGGTTGTTGCATTCTCGTTTCCAACCTCACTTTCATCATCCATAGGGACTGACGAATTGTCGGTATTGCTCATAGTTCTGAAATAGGAACAAATTAAACTTTAATAAGACATAAACATTACACAAAGTGAGAGTGATTATATGCATTACACAAATACATACAACAGTCAGAACTGATATTGTCTCACTCACATAAACACAAAGAAAGAAAGGAGAGACAATATGCACAGATCCTAGTACATCATCTTCATGAAGAATACAAAAAGGAATTGGAACTTAATAAAGAAAAAATGGTAATTAATCTTATGAAAAGAAGGTTCCTTTAGTTGTTGAAACACTTTCTCCTCTATAAAAACCTTTTAAACAAGCAGAATTCTACATAGAAATCCAACTGTAGTTCCTGCACATGCATCACCATCTACATCTTTCTCCACAACTACAAATTTCAGAAAAGACCAGCTCAATAAAACAAGAAATAGCTTAAACCCATAAACTAAATCAATTCATGAAACTTGACACCAACACAACAGCAATGCAAAGAAGCAGAACAACATCAATACATTAAACCTTGAGACTAAACAGATCAAGACACTTGACACAATGACAACATCACAACATATCAAAGTAAAACCTAGAAACTGAAAGATCAGTAATTCAATAGATTACGCAATAAAAATGCCTAAAAAATAGCAAAATAAACAGAATAAAAACCATTAAACTTGCGAAATCTGAGAATAAACGATTAAACCCATTAAAGTATTAAACCCCACGATTCTTCTTCGATAATATGATTTTTATAAAAAAAAAACATAAGTTAAAACGAAAGGGAAGAAGCACAATCAACACAATCGAGTTTATATTCACCCAAAATACTAGAGAATTCAAGGGAAGGAACAAATCTGAATGTTTAACTAATTTGTACTTGTAATTTGTAATTTTATCATGATTCAAACTCATCTTTAATAGTAATTTTCATAATTAACACTATTCATGATTAAAACCCTAAAAATTAGCTTTCGTTTTTCAGATCTAAACCGAATAAATACATAATCGCAAATTCGCAATTGATAATTTGATATGCAAAGTTTAAAAATTACCTTTGGAGGAATTAAGAAGTGAACGCTCGACGGTGAACGGTGGTCGACACTCGACAGTCAAGAGGAGAGCGAGAGTGTGAGAGTGGTGAGTACCACTGTAGCAGAGAAGCAGAGTAGGGTGAGAAAGTGAGAGGATAGAATAGGGTTTTTTTTTTTTTTTGCTTTATATACTTAGGGTAAAATCTGGAATATTGGGCCATAATTGTTGGGTTTTTTAAAAAAACAAAAAAATTTTTTATAACTAAATCAGTACCGGTTCCGGGTACCCGGATTGTCTGGATCCGGGACCGGGTACCCGGAACTGGAATTGGTTTAAACCGGGTACCCAGTGGGTACCGGGTCCGAAATTTTAGGACCCGGTCCCGGAACCGGTTACAACCGGGTCCGACATTTTGGACCCGGTCCCGGAACCGGTGGGACCAGTTCCGGGTCCGGACCCGGCGGATCCTAACCGGTTCCGGGTCCGGTACCGGGTACCCTGGGTCTTTGCTCACCCCTACCTTTTATGCCCCTATTTATTGGCACACGCTTCATTTCCCCTCCTAAATTTCAAAAAACAAGGAAAAATAAAACTGTCCAACTTCCTTCTTTCTTCTTCAATTTCCCCTATAAATTTTCCACTAAAGTAATTTCATTATTATGAATAAAAAAACCTTGATAATAATGGAAAAAAAGAGAAAAGTAATGTTAGTGTTATTCATACTATATTTTGGTATAGGAATCAGCCATAAACTAAGAGAAGAAGAAGAAGCAGATCGTATAATATCACTTCCTGGTCAACCTAAAGTAACATTTCAGCAATTTTCAGGGTATGTAACGGTTAATCATGTAGCTGGAAGATCCCTCTTTTATTGGCTCACTGAAGCTGTATCCAACCCTCTTTCTAAGCCATTAGTCATCTGGCTTAATGGAGGTAAGCTACTTGATTGATCTCTCTAATCGTATAGTCATGTTACTTTCGTTTAGATTTAGTTGTCACGTTACTAGTTTGAATTATGTGCACGAGTTTAGTTACTTTGTCAATGTGACCATTAATCTTGGAGGAGGGACTAGGGAGTATGTATGAATATACAAATGCACCTAGTCATGATAATTTACTTCGTATTATTTTAGTCTTTTATATGATAATAAATTAATAATGTTGGGTTAAGTGGTAAATAAAGCCGTATTATTAATTTTTGAGGGAAAAGGTTATAAATTTTCATCTCATTTAGTATTTTGTGGTTATTGTTAGTGTAAACTTGTATATAAAATTGGATTTTAAGGCGCATATAGTAAAGAATTAGGGAATTTTTATTTCGTTTACTTGAATTTCTGCATGCTAATCTCATACATTAGAAGTAGCTTATGTTTTGTTTAATTATTAAGCTATCATTTTACCTATATTCCTACATTTTTTTTCGCACATGTCAAAACATAAACTATATACATGTAGCAACAAATAAAAAACGTCTAAAACATTAAGCCTTTTACAATTAGCATGAAGGTATTTTAATTCTAGCTTAGGTGTTCATTTCCTTGAATTATTGTAAGACAAAATATAATATAAAATGGTAGATAATTTTTTTCACCTAAAAGTGTCAATGACTAACTCGACCCAAATAAACTATTTAATTAGCCCAACTAAAAGTATCACATACGGAATATAATTGAACCTGTATGAACACAATTTTTTAGTATACTACTTTCAATTAATTTTATATGTAATTTTAGAGTATTATTTATAATATATAAAATATTCAAATTTAAACTAAAACTAACCCAACTAGGCCTGATCCAACCCGAAGCTTAACACCTCCATTTCCACCCTTGGTATAATTCCTCTGCAGTACTGCACTGTAGTACAGTATAGTGGTATCCACTATTTAGTGAAAATGAAAGGGGAAATAATGCAAAATTGTCCCCACGTAACTCCCACTATTCACGTCTACCACTTGAAAAATACGCAACAAAGTTTGAAATCACAGCCCGCTTAACGGTTTAAGTTATAAATGCTGATTTTATTTATTTATTTATTTTTTTTATTATTTTTTTTTTACATGTCAAATTTGAATTTTTGCATTAATATAATCATTTTTCGGTATAGAGTATTTTTTTTTGTTCCTATCCAACGTATAATTATCAATCACTTCGTATTTTTGTAGTTAGTCAAAATGGTAAATGTCACCTTAAACTTTCTATTATATATGAAGTAAAAAAAAATTATGCCCTTGAAAAAAAAAAAAAAAAAACTACTTTTGAAATTTTTTTTATTAAATATAGGGTCAAAACTATATTTTCAATAATGTTTCTCTGTAATTAATTAGATTGATTTTTGTCTCATAAAAAAAAAAAAAAATAGATTGACTGAGGGGATCTTCAAGATTTTGATGATGGTCAAACTATTGGAAATGGTCAATTTGGTGAATTTATTTGTTCATTTATGTTATTTTTAATGGGTTAAATTTCCACATGAACCGTGGGAAGCATCTTTTCGTTCTTTATATATGTATAGGTAAAATGGTGAAAAAATAACTATGGTCTTATACTTCCAAGCATACTTTGGTCACTTTTCACATATATGTCATACAAGACAAATTTTTTCTTACATGCCTCTATTATTTTCATCATATCATTACCCTATGCGGCCTTGCCACACATAATTACGAGTATTTCAATAGTACAATAAGGTTAAGGCCCTATTTGTTAGTTGTTAGCTGATTGATGTAACTGATTGTATTAACTGTTTGACTAGCGGGTTATATTAGATGATTTAACTAGCTGGTTGTAAATAAATGATTTTGTAAAAGTGTTTGGTAATTAATTGTTTATTGTTAGCTGTTTTAATGTATTTAATACTAAAAACCTAATTGTTCAAAAAGCTAATTTCAAAAAGCAAGCTCTTATAATGAGCTTTTTCTAAAAGAGCTTTTTGACCCCAAAAAGCTCTATTATAAGCTATTTACCAAACACCAAAATTAGCTTTTGTCAAACCTCTAATAATGTTCAATAAGCTAATAGTTTTTCAAAAATCTGTTTACCAAACAAGGCCCTATCTGTAGTACTCCTTCACTCCACTAAATTAAGGATAGTTGTACATAGAGGGGATCTTTCATCGGTGTCAATTTGGACTTGACTTTCTGCAAATTATATTGATTAATTTATTATTCGACATAAATAACCCTATTTTACTTATAAAATATTACAGCATATATATAGTGATTAGTTTTGAGGTTGAGGGATTGTACGGAATCCTTGGCCATTTTATATGGTCGCATCGTAATTGGCCGATTATTGTTGTTAACATTATTAAGTCCAATTCCCACATCACCGCAAAATGTATCATAAGTTATGACCTAACCACTTGATGAGAGAAATGGGTATGTCCAGAAAACAATGACTGAATATAATGCATTAAACATGATGCATGTTGTTATAATCAGACAAAATCAATGCTTGCTGAACAACCAAATATAAATCACGATCTCATTTATTATAGTGTTCATAATCTGCTAGCTAGCTGATGAGATTGAGAGGTGCACCCTTTTAGGTCCATATGATCAATGCATTAGCTTTTAGCTAACTATTACATTGATATAACGTTACTTTAGCTGGTGCAAGCTATGAGTAACTACCTCTATTTATTGCCCAATCTTATCTTTAGCATTTCGAAACTCGTCTCGTGAGATCAGGCTAGGCTACATCATATTTTTATACTTCGTAAAAATTATTTAAATTATACGTACTCGCTTGTTAGGTGGTTTACTCTTAAATATTTGGTTGACCCATAGAGTTAGTAGGCTGTTATAGTTGGACTAATACAAATAATGAACTTATCAACGATTTACCATAAGGATTTTAATTTGTACAATGTACAGAGTAATATATTTCATGAAATAAGAAATTATGCACTCATATTGAAGAATAATATATTATGCAAAAATTAGTGTTATCCCTAGTTTGAATTAGTTTAAATCAATGTTTTTCAAATATATACGACTATCATGCTCTTGCATGAAATAAATTATGATATATATATATATATATATATATATATATATATATATATATATATATATATATATATATATATATATATATTCATAGTATTAACCTCTGGCAAAAAAGGAATAGTTGTTCTTGGACCAATCAAATGTTGGTTGTGAGGAAGATTCATAATTGTTCTATCTACTCGTTAACATGTCTTACTTGACCAAAACATGAATATTACAATTTACTATATGGTCTATCTCTAAATCTAGAATAAAGAAAACTTATTTATTTGGTAACCTTAGACAAAGGTTTGTTTTTTCTTATTCATTTTACATCTTTTGTATGCGTTATACATTAACACCAAAACGCGTTTTAATCCTTGTAGAAAATACTTCTTGTATTTTGTATGCACATAGTTTTAGGAAAATACGAACAGTGAAATTTTGTTACAATTAATTGTCAATCTAACTTTTTTGTGTAAGTTGTAAACTATTCTTTAGACTGTAGTTTGGAAAAAATGAATATTGCAACACGGTATATACTCTCTTTAAGGATATCTACAAAATGTAGCAAACAAAATGCAATCATGAATGCAACAGTAGAATTGCGTCCACAATTCCACATCTAGTTAGCTTTAAATTCGACATCTAGTTATACAATCCCATTGATATAGATATGTCTTTAGCTTTAAATTTGACATGTACGTAAAGGAAGTCTTGCTTCTTTCATTTTTCGATCGAAAGATGTTCATAAATGAAATGGAGGAAGAACTCAACCAAAAACTTAAAGCTAACGGTCGAAACTCATAATTGGTGTTATATTCTATCATGTCCTTTCACAATATAGCCCAAAAACCTTGCATTTGAAGTGTTGATGTAGTTTAGGCTCCCCTTTATACTCATCGCTAAATATTCTACAAAGATGCGTAAATGACATTTAAACTAGTGACATAATCCGTATATATCAAGCTAACTCTTGATACTATGTCCATGGACCAACTTAACCAATAGTTAATCCCCGTAATTGATTTTTTATTATATAGAGAACAATTAAGATAACTGTTTCTCATAGGTGGATAGCCTTAAAAACCCCAATACAATCTTTTCGTAAATTAATTATTTAATAGAAAATGAATAAATAAACAAGAAGACATTTTCCATCAAAATTTGAGTTAATGTTTAATTTACATAATTAGTTATCCTATGATATTATAATTAAAAGTGCAATGTACATACGTACGTAACTACGTAGTACCCAACGCTAATGCAGATTGATGTATAAAAGTTAAATTAATATTGGGTGCAACAGGGCCAGGATGTTCGTCAGTGGCGTACGGAGCATCGGAAGAGATAGGGCCATTTAAGATAAATAAGACATCATCAGGATTGTACATGAACAAATTATCTTGGAATTTGGATGCAAACCTTCTATTCCTGGAAACTCCTGCTGGTGTTGGCTTCTCTTACTCCAATACGTCGTCTGATCTCTATGATACTGGTGACCGTCGCACTGGTAAGACATTGTATCCCTATCATATTCTCTCAATATATTTACGATTAATGAGTTATAAAGACAATACAAATAAATTTGAACTACTTTTAGTCTTAATCACTAGGCCCATTGGTATATCAATATCATATGTTTGTTGATAACATATTTTTTTGACTGATATGTTGATAATATGTTACAAGTCTATATTATGTTGATGATGGGTATGATGATAACATGTTACAAGTCTAGAAAATGGTAAAATAGGCGTTACACTAGCAACCAACAAATATTTTAAAAGAAAAAAAAAAAAGCCACCTTTTGAAAGATATTTCTAAAGGATAGAGTAGCAAATTCTACGCATGCAACCAAGGATTCAAGGACGACGCATTTGCTGAGCGTGGATTTGCCCCACCAAGCCAAAATTGCCCATACCATTATCACGTTTAAGTTGCTCCACTTATATTTTCTTTGGGACCGATGTAACACCCTTTCTTGGCATATACTGAGTATATACCTTGTAATCCTATATATCCAACACACTCCACTAGTTTCGTCGGATTAACATAGAACAATAATTTAAAATCGTAATGTGAATATTAAAAAATGATAGGAATATAGGATCCAATAACTATTAGTTATGTATGTCTCATAGTACAATGAAAGGACGGGAATTCTCCCTCCTATTTTATTTTCTTATTGTTTTGGGGTTAGATTATAGAGTATAACAAAGCCTCATGAACTTCTTAACAAGGGAAGCAACACAACATCATATAAGCATTTGTGAGTTTAAATGCACTTAATGTGTTCATATTAAGAGATATTGTTACAAATAGTATAAAGATGTTGGTTTGAATAAACTTCACCACATTTGCAATGTTAGGTTTTAGTGTTCCACTTTCATGAAAATTATCAATCATAAGAAATCACCATACATTTTCCCACGTGACTAACAGAAATGAATGTTATTTGAGTAGTAATGAGATAAAGATTGGGCTTCAATCTTGGGTCCTACGAATTTTTCAATAGTGGGCTCATGTAATCAAATCCCATGATCTAGAATCAAAGATGACACATAAATAGCTTATAAGCCCAACTACCTAATTTATTGTTCAAACATGTAGAAAAATGATTAACTTTGTCCTTTTGAAAAGTCAGATTCTTAATATTATATTTTATTTGTCTCATTTTGTGAGAGTTTTTGGGCTTGTGTGGTACGGCGTAGTTAAAATTTGACTGACAGAAGTATTAGGTATGCATCCCACATGATAACTGTATTAAGATATTTTCTTGTTTACTAATCAATTCGTCTTCATCGACCCTTTTATGTAAGGGCTTTTTATGTCAAATGAGGAAAGTAAAATAGGGTGGAAGGAGTACTTAGTTAGTATCATTGTCTCTATTTCTTCCTAGACAATGTTTCTCAAATTTTTAAATATAACTTGTTCATATAAGTCCGTTGGTTTAATTTGTATGGAAGTTGTGGAGGGGAAAAAAAATTATGTTTCTAATCACTGAGTACGTGTGAATGTTTGATTGAATTGTCATTTTTTTCGGTTTCAATTGATGTGAATGTGATTGAAATTTTGAACACATTTTGTTTAGTTACAAATTTAATGATGTTACTTGAGTGTAAATCTTAAGTCCAAACTAATAATGTACAACTTCACAAGTGCTTCATTGTAAAATAATTTGGGTGCTATTATTGCATTAGAATTATATAAATAAATAAAGTATGAATCTGCAAATTCTTTCTAGTATAGAACTTCTTATGTAAAAAATTTGAAATGCACAAATACTTGTGACATTTCTATGGTTCTAACCTTCTACTTCTTTTGCATATGGAACTAACAAATTGGTCTCAATGCTATTCAGCCAGGGACTCCTTGGCATTCTTGGTCCATTGGATGAACCGGTTTCCACGTTACAAGCATCGAGAAATATACATAACCGGTGAGAGCTATGCTGGACATTACGTACCTCAGTTGGCCAGAGAAATCCTAAGCTACAATGCAAACTCCAAGCATCCTCTAAATCTCAAAGGAATAATGGTAAGTATGCTTGCATCGATTTTTACCCCTTGACATTTATTTCAGTTCCGAGTTTAAGTTTTTATACAAGTACATTCTTGAACTGCATTGTTTTTTCAGGTAGGAAATGCTGTTACAGACAACTACTACGACAACTTGGGGACCGTGACATACTGGTGGAGTCACGCCATGATTTCAGATAAAACGTTTCATCAACTGGTTAACACTTGTGATTTTCACCGTGCAAAGAACTCTGACGAATGTGAAACTTTGTATTCGTATGCCATGGATAAAGAATTTGGAAATATCGATCAATACAACATTTATGCACCACCGTGCAATAACTCTGATGGCTCTGCTGCTGTTTCAATCCACAGGAGCATGAAGTTGCCTCACCGTCCACATCATGTAAGTTCGAGTCTTAGACTGTTATACCAGAATATGTCTGAAAATTGTGTTTCATCAATGAATTTTTTCTTTGATTCCTGTCAGATTTTGAGAAAGTTATCTGGGTATGATCCATGTACCGAAAAGTATGCTGAAAAATACTACAATAGGCCAGACGTGCAGAAGGCTCTCCACGCTAATACCACTAAAATTCCGTATAAGTGGACTGCCTGCAGGTGAGGTTAATTCTGTTGTTTAGCTGCAAATACACATATATGTTTAATATATCTAGCAGAGTTGTGAATTTTAAATTTCTTTCAATACAGCGAAACTTTGAACAGGAACTGGAATGACAGTGAGGCCTCGATTCTTCCTGTTTATCGCCAGCTGATGGCAGCTGGTATTAGAATCTGGGTATTCAGGTATGCAAATTTGTTTTGATATAACTATAGATAAGTAATGTATTGCTTCAGAATTGTGCTGTTATATTCATTACAGGAGAATGCGCGATTTATGTACTGTCATTTATTCAAATCTTTATGCATTGCAGTGGAGATGTGGATTCAGTGGTGCCAGTAACAGCTACTAGGTATTCTCTTGCACAGTTGAAGTTGAAAGTTAAAATCCCATGGTATCCTTGGTATGTTAAGAAACAGGTTAGTAAAAAAAAACGCGCTCTAACTTATTTCATAATCCGCATATAACAGAATTCCAAGTAAAAAAAAAATATCATATGATATGCCTAATTGTTCTGTAATGTGTTTTTTTTCAAGGTTGGAGGATGGACAGAGGTATACGAGGGGCTAACATTTGCGACTGTAAGAGGAGCAGGGCACGAAGTGCCGTTGTTCAAACCAAGAGTGGCCCTTGAGCTATTTAGAGCATTTTTAAGAGACAAGCCTCTCAGTAAGTCTTGATCTAACATGGTTTAGCGTCAGCCATATATTAGAAATTAATTGTCACCAAAAGTGGTGGTATGATTTCGTGACACAATCCTTTGTAACAAACAAGAAGAAAATTGTTTGGATAATAACATGTTGGTTTACAAAAGAATTAAATAGGGTGCAATTAGAAATGGTTTTAGCTCTTTTAATGACTTCAAAATTTCTATTGGTTAAGAAGTGTATCATTAAAATTGGGGATTTTTTCTTTGTTCTTGTGATAGTGATAGCACTGATAGGTGAATGATGTATGAAATATTTGGCTTGAGAATTAGAAGCTAAAAAAAACATTTATTTTCCAATTATAGCCCTTGCAGTTAAACACGAAGTAATTTATATGAAGTGTTCTATAATGAAGTCTCAAGACAGTTTTTGTCTTAAAAGTTTCTTCCTATAATAACGGGGTAAAATAAATATTGTATGATGCATTTGTTATCAATTGGTCGTACAATTTCGTTTTATTTATAGTAAAAAAAGAAGCGGGCATTGACCAGGCATTACCTAGTTTTGACATAAAAATTTCCAGTCTTGTACAATTGTTTTTAGTCAAAAGACTCAAAACATACGAGGAGTTACAAGTTTATGTTCGTGATAAATAAAATTGTATAATACAGGGATAAAAGTGTATTTTGTGCGGTAAAAATGAGTAAAATTGCGTTTTATCTTAAAACCGCTACTTCAAGTCGACACGCTACCTCAAGTAGCGATTTTACTCTATGATAAACAAATTATCACGGAGATTAACCGGGACAACCTCCAAAAATACCTTGTTTATATCTTAAATTCAGTCTTCAAAGAAATTGGAAAATGAATTAAATTCTGCACCTAGCGAACTTCAATTCGAATATGAATATGAATATTCCAATTTTTTGCTTGACTTTTGATTGTATATTGGACTGGCATACCACTTGGATACACCCATTATATTCAAAGGTCAACTTTATTGTAAAACTTCAAACTAGGTCCTGTTTATTATTTCTAAAAGATAATGTTTTATATATTGAATCATAATGTCTTTTCATTATTATTTTATGGAAATTTTAGAAAATAACATCTTAAAAAAAACCCAAATTTTGATTATAACACCACAAAAAAAATCAAAAATTGGTTTTACCACCACTTAACTTTTCCATCCAAAAAATCGTTAGTAGGCCCCACATTGTACACGTGTCAATTATTTATTGGATAAAAAACATGTGTCACTATACTATTGGTTTAAAAAAAATAATAAAAACAATATAAAAAAATAAAGAAAAAAAAATTATTTAAAAAAAAGACAACAAATAACCCAGCCACCACCTTCACCACCGATGTCGGTTTCCCCTGCCCACCGCCGTCAGCCCAACCCGCGCTGCCAACTCCCCTTAGCCGACCGACGAAACCAGGCCAGCCTAGCCGACCACAAGAACAACCCAGCCTCAGCCCCGATTCGATTTGGTTTGGGTTCAGGTGAGGGTAAGAGATGTAAAGTGGTACATGGGTTTGGGTTTGCGTGTGGGTTGGGGTTTCGGTGACAGATCTGGGTAAGTGAGGGGAGTTCGGTGATGTTGCTGAGGTAGGTGGTGGTGGCGTGATGTTGCGGTGGTAGGAGACAAGAATGGGTGGTGGTTTTTGTCGGTTTCCGTCGGTTTTCATGGAGTAGGAAGGAAAGAACGGGTGGTGGCTTGGGGCTGGTTTTCGTCGGTTTTGGGTGGGGACAGGGGATGCCAACGGCCTAGGTTAGGGTGTCGGCTGCTCAGGTGGCTCCGACGGTGGGGTTGGGGATAGATTTTTTTTTAAAAAAAAAAATTTCTTTTTTTTATTTTAATTTTTTAAACCAATAGATTGTTGACACGTGTCAATTATGGGCCTCACTTAACGGTTTTTTTGGATGACAAAGTTAAGTGGTGGTGAAACCATTTTTTTTTTTTTTTTTTTTTTGTGGTGTTATAATCAAAATTGGGGTTTTTTTTGGGTGTTATTTTTTAATTAAGGCTTTATTTTATTAGTTTTATTTCTCAATTTTAACAAACTTTTTATAGTACTCATATCAAATTTTCCGTTTTACTATATACAGAATAGGGCCCGTGCGATGCACAACAGTAATAATCTTTTTTCCTATAATAAAATTTGTGATACAATATAAAATAAGGCAACTCGTGGAATAAACAAATGCAATGCATATATGAAAAATGAAATAATAAGGCAAAAATTATTAAAACTAAAATTGAGAAAGAAAAAAACCATGGTTAATTAGTTTTGTTAAAAATATTTAACAGTAGTAAACATTATATAACAATAATAATGAATGTTATTCCCAATAAAACTATACAATGTAGATGTCGTATAACTTTTTAATGAATTGATTTAGCTCCAAAAAATAAACAAAGTATAATAATTAAAATAACGTAAAAGTGACATCTTATAATGTTTTGGTGGGAATTTTTTTAGTCTGACATATGTCCAAAATGATGTAAGCATAACCTATGCTACTAATAGTTAATAGATTAAAAATTATAAGTTGGTAAGCTTACAGAAATATTAGAGGTATGTGAAAAGAAAAAAATAAAATAAAAAAGTGTATGGAAGAATTAAGAACACGAAATAAAAGGGAATACATATATTATAAAGATTATATATAAGATTTGGAATAATATTATTATAGTTGTATTATACAAATATTCCAAAAATAAAAGATTTTTGCTAAAAAGGGAGGGGGAGTTTTGAAGGCAAAAAACAGAACCAGGATGCAACATGTCACTCCCGGTGTCTGTTTTAGTATTAAGTTATTGATTGATTGATAGATTGATAGTCATGATGATAAATTTTAGTTTCACATATTATATTTTTTAATCTATTTTTGAACTAATTCATTTTTCTAAGTTAAATTTCAAGTTTAAGCACAATTATTTGGGTCTTGAATATGCTTATTTTCAAGTATAATTTTCAGATTTTAATTTTATTAAAAAATCCCCAAATTATTAAATCCTGGGTTGGGATTTTGAAGTATTTTGATTAGAAAAGTATAGTACTATACATTACCTAGTGTTGAAATCATGTTTTTAATGTTAACAAGTCAGATTATATATGACCTACAAGTATTAATTATTGCAGAAATTTTGTGGGAAGCGCTAATTTTGAGATTCTAATTTGTGGCAATTGATTAATTATTAAAGAATAAGCTTATTTATGGGTTTTATATCTATACTTAGTATTTAAAAACTCAAACTAAAAAAGACATATGTCATCATTGTATTACACTTCCCTATCTTTTTTTTCAACCCAATGTGCCATATGTCGTCTTACATTTTTAATTACACTATTTTTCTTAACTCTTTCCTTAAACACTTCATCTTCATCTCCCCTCTTCAATACAACCTTTTTATTTTCTCTCTTTAATTTTAGTCCCTCTACCATCTTTCTATCAAGCCTCAGTTTGAATTAAAGTCCCAAAATTTTTATTTCTTTAATTATGTTTTCAGTTACGCATTACACCCTTTAGGGAATATTTCAAATCCAACCTCGAGCCCCACTGTAATGATGCTTTTATGCATGGTGGCGTTCATAGGGAAGGAAGCTAGAGATAAAAGAGTCGCCAACAAGTTTTAGGAACTTGTAAACCGTTCACGGGTGTGAAGGATACACCCTATTCATGATCACGGAGATCGCTAACTCCATAGTGGTCCGGAACCATGACTGGATATTCGGGATGATGGTATGAATCCAACCTAAAAGAGATTGAACCCGCCCTAAATCGGCCTCTACTTAATACTTATGATATTCATGTGCGCTTTTCGACCAACATACATTCATCAAGTTAATCCTAAGCATATTTAATCTACGTTGGTTGATTATTAATGCACAAATAAATCTATTATTGGAGATCACTTGAATTAAAATCATATTAACCCTAAAATAAAATTATTAATTATCTTATTAGGCGTGATTTCAAATACAAATACCCTTTAAACATGCAAGAATTGAAGGGCGTGATCAAGTAATAACATTATTAGCAAGACCCTAGGCATGATACTAAATTATTAATCATGAATAATCAAGCAACATAATAATTGACACAACAAATCATCATCAAAACATTATTAGCAAGACCCTAGGCATGATACTAAACGGATTAATAACATATCCTAGCATGTCATTAATAAAAATCATAATCAAAGCATTAGCCTAAACATGATACTAGAAGTCAACATGATATTAGAAATATTAATTAACACCCTAAACATGATACTAGGAATCAAATTCAACATCCTAACATGATACTAGGAATCAAAATAAATATCCTAACATGATAATAGAAATTAAAATAATATCCCAAAACATGATTTATATATCAAAATCGAGGAATAAGGATAGTAGATCTACTCACTTTGATGCCTCGTATCTCTTTCTATCAAAACAATACACACGTTAGTAACTTTATGAAAGATTAAATCAAATAAACCAAATAAATCAAATAAGAATTGAAATATAGATTTGGGACCAAACCCTCAGAACTATCAACCTTTCACGTCGAGGTCGAAGGCAACTTCGAGATTGGCTTGGAGTATTCGAGACTCGTGCAAGAGGTATGGTGTGTAATGTCAAGAAGGTATTGGGATGTGTTTAGGCTAAGGCTAGAAAACAACACTACTAGAAATAGGGCGATTTATAACGGACTTGTTCCGACGGACAGGAAAATCCGTCGGAAAAAAACGTGATTTCCGAGGGATTTAAATTCCGTCGGAACTTTCCGACGAATTTAGATTTTCCGTCAGAAATTTTCGACGGAATTTTAGTCCATCGGAAAACACTTAGCTACCGACAGAATTTTCCGTCGAAAGCTAAGTGTTTTCCGATGGATTTAAAATCCGTCGGAAATTTCCGACGGATTTTCATTCCGTCGGAAATTTCCGACGAAATTAAATGTTATTCCGACGGAATTTGGTTTAAAAAAAGAAAAGGGTTTAAAAACCCAAAAACTCTATTTTCTCTCCTCTTCTTTCCCCACCTCTCTTCTCTTCCTCTCTCCTCTCTTCTTTCCTCTTCCTCTCTTTCTTCTTCCTTTCCGGCCTTCTCCTTCCTCGGCGCCTTACTCCTCTTTCCTCTTCCCCTCTTTCTCCTTCCTCTCCT